AGAAAAGCAAGATACACCTTCATCAGTCTGCAATCGGTTCGGAAATCTTCTGCACTGCACTGAGCCAGCATAAAGAACAAGATTCAAGATTTTAGCACTAGTGTTGATTCAGCCAGTTCTTCTATACTGGTCAGAAGCGTGGCGAATCACATAAAGCACTTCCAACAGGCTGCAAACTTTTATTGGCAGCTGCCTTCGAGGGCACTATACGGAAGACAAAATGGCCTGTTAGAAAGAATTGGCAGGGAGAAACTCTGGGAACTAATCAAGAGCCTAACTTTCAGCATATATGTGGAAGAAAATGGAGATGGATTGGGTATACGTCGAGGGTGCCATCCGAAGACATCGCGCGACGGGCCTGCCCTTGAATGGTGTTTCATTGGGAAGCGACAGGTCAAACATTTAACTAAGCCTACCTTAACAGTTAACCGATGCGACGAATTAAAGTCTAAATATCTATTAGAATGCGTTGGTTTTCTATAAACACTAGTGTGTAGTTTGCCTTCTTCTATTCATTTTATCTTACAATCTAACATAGCTAATTCTCCTTGTTCATTTTCTGATTCAAATGTGAATTTTATTCCCTCAACCTGTGAGTTTATAAGTGTCAAGAAGATAGAGATGTGTTGTTTTTAACACTGTGAAGGCGTCATCCACATATCTCCACCATATTTTTTAGGTAGGGTTAAATGTATTGAGGGCACTATTTAAAAAACCGAGCAGTGGCACTAAGTAGCACAAAAAAGACCTAAATGATGAATTAAAACAGATAGAAGAAGCGTTGGCGTTGAATAACTATCCCATAAAATTCATTAGGAAGGTCATTAAAGGCCAAAGGAAAAATAAAAATAATTGTGAAACTAGTAATAATAACATAAATAAGAAAGAATATAAGTCAACCACAGTTATACCATATAAAGAGGAGACATCTGAGACACTACGTAGGATTCTACATAAAGCAGGAATTAGGGTGGCATTCAAACCTACAAACTCACTCAGGCAGGACAAGCTCTGTAGGTTAAAGGACCCTGTCAGTTGACTCAATAAGACAAAATAATATTATTTACAAAATATCTTGCAATGACCGTGAGTTAGGTCAACTACATGGGTCAAACTAGTAGGTCAGGGGTAGTCAGATTCTCAGAATATAAGAATTTAGCTAAGGTAAGAATGGTTGACCTCGAGAAGATAAGTAATTTAGAAAAAAGCTCAACAATTGCAATGCATGCATTAACACACAACCACACAATCGGGTGGGAGAGGGTTAAAATTCTAAAAAGTAATCTAAGTAGGTGGAGGCAGAGGTTGATTACTGAATCCTTGTTCATCGAGTCTACACCAAACACATGTATTAGGAATGACTCATCACTCATACCTGAAATATGGAAAATACTATTACCGATCAAATCAAGTGAAAATCAAGAGAAAAAGAATGGAACTATATAAATGAATTTAGGAAGTCATGCGAGTACCTTGATATGATTATGAGCAGCAATAAATTGTGCTCGAAACGTCATCAGTAAACATTACTGTATTTTTCTGTGCGTCTAAGGACTTAAAAAGGACCTCTGAAGAAATCTACTCGAACAGAGACGAATTTGAAAGTTCTGAGGTGATTGCTGACCTCACTTCATCGGAAGGATTTTTGAGGTGCCTTTGGTTGATGTTAGAGCATCTGTTGAGTAAGTCGTTTGGTGCAGTCAGAAATATACACATAAGTCTAGTCATATGAGGGCAAGGCTAGTGTGGTGCCACAGACGAGCAGGATCGGTGTACATCCTAAGTTTTTTTGACAGTTGGTCGAATAGTAAATAGTATAAAAAGTAGGTACCCGCTCTATTTAGAACTGTTAGTTTGAGTCGTCTGAGAGCTTCTTCTTTGTTTGTGAAATCGCTCCACAAGGTCACTCGCTGCTGGATGATATACTGCCAAGGAGATTTGATTCAACTCGAAGATTCCTGTTAATTCGTGAAAAAGAGTTGGTTGGAACTGGGCTCCTCAGTCGGATGTAACTGTAGTGGACACCTCATATTCCACGCCTGATGAATGAGGAAAACCAAAGCAGTCAGCAGATATGTTTTAGGCGAAAAGGCGGTAGCAAGTCGAGGGAATTTGTAGACAGATGTGATGGTTGTAATGGCCTCACAATATTGATATGCAATCCTGAAATCGTCTATAAGATGAGCCAAATTTCTTCGGAGTTGTAAGGGTATGGCGATGTACTTCGGAGCATTGGCGTTGGAGACATTCACATGTCCATTTCGGAATGACGGATTTAATTCTGAGCCACGCAAAATGACCAGTGATAAGTCCAACTATGGCAGGTACTCCAGGATAAGACAGCGAATGTAGGTGTTCGAATAAGGCTTTGAGACAACTTTGCGGCACAAAATGCCAATGAACGCCTGTGGAGACATAAAAAACGACAGTCGTATTGGAAGAGGAATAGATATGTTATGCAGCTGTAAGGAAGAGTTTTCACTACAAGTGAGAATTTTTGCGTCACTTCGTCGTGGTCTTTCAACAATGTTCAAACTAATGTCTATCGAAGATAGCTGATTTAAATCACGTCGAGAAAGACAGTCGGCTGCAACGTTTGCATCTCTTCTGATATTCTGAATGTAGGTTGTGGACTGGGAAGTATACTCAAGCTGCCTGGCCCTTATTGGAGAGTGTATGTCTAGCAAAGGTATGAAAGCGCAGCAAAGTGGCTTGTAGCCGGCAGAGATGGTGAAATGACGAACTTCTAGCAGGTGACTGAATTGCTTGGCTGCTGGGCAGACGGCTAACAATTCTCTTTCAGAAGTGTTGTAACGAGCATGAGCTGGGCCCAACTTTTTAAAAATGTAGGCAACTGGAGTAACTCCATCATTTTCCCGCTGCTGTAGTACTGCTCCCACTACTACTTGCGACGCATATGTGCACAGGTTAAGGAATACTTTGGAGTTGATGTGGAATAGCATGGAGACTTTGAACAAGGCTTTTTTGGCATTACTAAAAGCCTCTTCTGCTTGTTCTAGCCACTGGAACTTTATGCAGTGATGTTTAAGACCTGTCAAAGGTTGTACGACCGAGGCTTGTGACGGAAAATACGCTGACGGAAATTCAAAACCCCAGAAAACGTTGGAATTTCTTCAGTGGATGTGGTTAGGGGAAGTTTCTGATAGTTTCTATCTTCTCCGTTGGCCTGAAATCGTCAGCCATTGTGCGATGTCTTAGGGGGATTGTATTGAGGTGGCACCGGAAATGCAACTTTTGGATTTCTAGCGGCATTATATTGTTCAAAGCGCTGAAACGAGGCTCTTGGGTGGTCCATTTGCTCCTCTACAAACGTGCTGGCAATTAAGACATCACCTACATACGCAAACAAAAGTCAAGACATTGCGTGACTTGGTCCGCGAAACTCTGGAAGGACTGCGCAGAGTATTCCAGACCCAAGGGCATTCGCAGAAAAAGGTGTTATGATAACCGTCTTTGAAATGCCCTCTTTGGCGACAGATCTATGATGGTACGCTCTGACTAAATCTTCCTTGGGGAAAATAGTTTTACCGTACAATGTCAGAGAAAAGTCATGTAGGTGGGAACGAAATGACCGTGAGAGACATTGGCGACATGCAGGTGACAGTAATTCCCACATGGTTGCCAGTCATGCTCAGTGCCATGGTGCCATGTACATGGGTGAGGATCAAGGACTACTGGACAGTTGAATGATTCCCAGTCGGGCAAATTGTTCGAATTCGGTCTTGGCCGTTGACAGTTTGTCAGGTAGCAGCCAACGAGGATGTTCTCTTGAGGGCTGATTTCATGTGTGGCGAAGTAAATGACGTCTGTGATACCATGGGACGGCCGTAGAATTTTCGGAAAAGTCTTGCAGTAATGCAGAAAATGCCCAATTATCAGTCTTCGACTCCTGTGTCCAGCTTGAATAACTTGCCCGTAGTTTTGTCCCTTATGTAGAAAGAGCGACTCCAGTCACTGTCAGTAACAGCCGTCACCACTACTGTTTGGTGGGCCGTTTTACCTTGGGCGAGTCACCACAAATGAAAACGCACGGTTTCGCACACTGGCTAGTTTGATGTCCGATTTTTCTACTGTACCAGCAAATATGTCGACTATTGAAGGGCGTCCTGGTTTGCTGTCTCGAGGAAGACTCTCTGAGTTTTCTTGACTTGGATTGTGACCTACCGTGTTGTGCTCTTAGGCCGGGCATATCAGAATCTAACTTTTCCATATTGTTCCCGAATAAAGAAATAGCTGGTAGTACTGGAGTGTCCGTCCTAAACGTGGCCAAAATAGGTAACACTGCGTGTTATCACATCACATAGAATGGCGTCCGACAATACGCTTAGTATGTTGTCTGCAGCCTAACTAGATCATCTAGATCGATGGATTTACAAGAGACAATTAAGGTTTGTTGGATGTTTCGTCGTAGCCGTTGCAACCACATTCGTCGTAAACTACCTTGTCAAACATGTGTGGTCCAATGAGTGTGAATGACTAAAAGAACAAGTTGGACGGGCACCACTTTAAGCACTCCAGTATGAAAAGTTCATCAAATAAGATTTTTTGCCGTTCCCTCAAATGGCAAGTAAAATTACAAATCCTTCAAGTTACTATGACCACAGAACAAAAATATGAATCACCGCCGACAGTCCATAGTTTTTGTATGGAGACACAGTCACTACATATGGGGTTTCAAGTAGTAATGTCGTTTCGCCTTTCTGTAGGTCAGAATATTTCATACAGTGCAGAGATAGGGAAAGGGTTACATTGTCTTGCGGTAGTGGTCTTTCAATTCAATCAGCGACTCTTTCAAGATTCCTCTGTTAAAAAGGCTGTGTTAGTTTATGATCAAATTATTGAAGAACAATCTAAAAAATAAAGGATAAGAGTCCGGACTTTAAAGTTTTAATTTCTGCGTCATATCTTATGAATCCCAAATGAGAATTGAATTGCAAATTTTCAAGCGTCACGTTACTGTGCAACAGCCTGCTTAGCGAATGAAAAAAAGCAGGTTTGTTCATCATTGATTTTAATTATTTCATAGTTCCTGGCTAAAAGGTCTTTTGTGTCATAAGAGTCATCATAAATTCCAGAGGGGTATTGATTCGAATAATGTTGATTGTGATAGAGCGAATTCGAACAACATTAAACCGTTAGAACAGGATGGAAGTGTCAAAGAAACTTTATCTTTATCAACTACTAGCCAAACTCCAGGTTTAGGGGATGGGGGTTCAGCAAGTCTTGGCGACTGGTCTGCAGTGCACCAAGTTGATTGTATCGATAACTCTAAAGTGAATCTCTTGTGTGATGGCAGTCATAATAGTGCCTCTGCTATAATTAGTTTTCTAAATCGAGCAGAGTTTTGTGACCGCTTGGAGTCCATAATAGCTCGGTTGGAAAAAGTTGCTCAGTTAGGTTTGGGTAGGTACTATGAATATAATAAAGTTATAATTACATATATTCAGAAAAAACACCTGGGTTGATTGCTTTCGAATCACTAATGGCAGGAAGTCTCAAAAATTATTTAACGTGCAGTAAAAAACTTGGAGGCAATATACAATCCCAAGTAAGTAGACGTACTACATACGTAATTTCTAGTCATCATGTGTTTATGAAGCTTTTTGCATTGTTAGAGATCTTATTCAGGACTCCATGGTATACAAGAAACCAAATGAAACAGAAATGGATACCCTTTTGAAAAAACTTGACTTTAAATTGATAGAGATTGCAGTAAGTAGAATCGTCATGGTAATTTGAATGTAGACAAGAACTTCAGCGTTGAAGCCTTATCTGTTAGGAAGTATCAGTTATCAACTGTTGCAGATTCAATGCTTATATTGAACTGGGTTGAGAATGTAAGTTTTTATCATCTTATTACCAAAATATTTTAAGTCATCGGCGTCTCAATACGTTAAAGAAATGAAGGATTCTGCATGGTTGTATGCAAATAAAGTTGTCCAATACTGCCGTAAGAGGTAAGATTCAGTTCACATATATCTTTATTGTTTTTGAAAATTCAAAAACTATAGGCGTATAGAGGGGTTACTGATGGTTAATTTAGGCATTTAATTTCCAACCACTAAATCTCAAATTCAAAAAGCCACTTGAACGCTTGTGTTTTTGGCTTTTAAGTAATCCTTTAACACCTCGCATATTATGTGTGGGTTCTTATTAAGGTTAATATGGAAAATCAGTACTGGACATTAATCTTGCAAGCTGCTCTTGGGATCAAACCTCGTGACGTGTGTTTGAGCACTCGGTCATTTGTGAATTTAAAACTTTATTCGGTTATCTTGGTTTGTTGTAATATCACGAGATAATGAAGCATTATCCTACTTTTTGAAATTTCCAACAGCGTCATAATCATTTGATTTGTCATTGAAGTGCTACCCAGCCTTGTTAATTGTTCAAAAATGTAAACTTGTCAAATAATTGCATTCTAGTTCTGATTTCGAAATTTAAATTGAATTGTATTCACAGAGATCTGAACGTACTAATTACTCGATACAAGGAAGTTTTATTCATATGCATATGTACTGGGAAACAATAAAATCCTAAATTATCACCCTAGTAATTCACATTTAACCTAGTTTTGTCAACAGTCGGTTGCTACAAATAAGGTGTTACACGAGTAGTACCGTTAGTTCATATGATGTATGCTGATTAATTCTCTAGTCTACTATTGTTAAGTTTTTCACACAACTATAAACTTTCAACACATTTGCATGTGAAATGGGATAATTTATGTGTTCTCTTGGTCATTTTTAAATTGCAAAGTAGGACTGGTTAGGCTTGGAGTAACCAAATTAACTATAAAAGACATAATATATTTTTTGTTTCAAAAGAAACTAATAAAAACTAGCGGTTTAGTGTAACTGGCATAAACGAAGTGTTGATACCAGTCTACTACATTTTATCCCAGTTTACAATTTAATTTACAATTTGCAGTTAACACAGTACAAGGTGATGTTTCACTACAGTGTCCAAAGAAAACTGATCGAAGTGATCTGAACGCTGGACAGCTGTTTCATTCGTTTGAACAGTAGCTCACCAGCAGTGTACTTGGTGCGATTCAGCCGAGGGAGGCAAATCACAACCTAAAACCTAGTGAACTACTTCGGTGGACTGTAATACATGGAATCAAATCAAGCATTGCTTGTTAATTTGGGTGGTGTCCAACTATTTATAGCGGTCAGTTGACAGTACTTACCATCATGCATTTACATTTTACTCCTGCACATTTAGCACTATTTGTCGTGTTGACAGTGCTTTTAATTCATTAAGTAGTGCCAGCTTGTATATTCATGGTTGTGTAGTCGACTGGATTTGGTGGTCAAGTTTTGAGCGAAATGGGATCTCTGTGGTGAATTATTGCCCTATCTCCTGCATAACAAATCTTCAGGATCACATGCTTTTTTCGCATTATTTTCATATTAAATAAGTTTATCTGATTTGGAATCACTTTCTACCACAGTGCCCAAGTTCAGTAATTACATTTATGTCACATTATTTTGCAGTTTGTTGGACATAAATTTCTAGAAATAACGTGAATACCTTTTTTATTCAATTCAAGATCGGAAAGCTCTCTCTTATTACCAAACCAACTTTTTTTAAAATAAGATTGCTTAATCCTTTTATTATGCTTCTGTTTAGCCTTCCAGAGCATGTTGAGTGGATACGTTCGTGGCTTGCGTGTCTGGATGAATTATGCATACTAGTTGATGAGCATTTCCCATATGGTTTGAAGTGGAATAGTAATGGTTCAAAACTCCCTTTACCAACAGTTGAAATACGTCCAGTTCAACGTTTACAACCCAACTGCAATCCTACTTTACCCTGTAGAACTTCAGCAGAGGTAAATTTATCTGCTATTTTATTATCATTACTATTTATTGGATAAAGATTGAAAGAACTGTTAGCTTTATTTTGAGGAAATAATATTAGGGATGGCTAATATAATGTGTTGAAACTTTCACATTTTGAGTGATATGCCGTAATTATTGCATCCTATTATATATTCGATTTGTAAGTGTACACCAAGATATCTTTTCATCGAAACAGTTTTCACAGTTTCTTTTACTTATGATAATCTAGTTTTAATATTCTAAACACTAGACTTACAAATACGAGTGCATGAGTTAATTAACCTGTTAATTGTCAGTCGTTTCTCGTTTTTTTCAATAACTTTGCACTTGCAGGGGAAAGCAAATAAGTCTCTCATAAGTAAAAACATAGTTTTTGTTCAGCGAAGAAATTTCTTTTCAACGACTTCATTTTCAAGCTGTACAGTCGTATTTATATTACAGGAAAAGGTTATTAAGTGGCACTAAATAATTGCTCAGTCAATGTACGTATATATGTGATATTGACTGAGCAATTATTTAGTGCCACTTAATAACCTTTTTCTGTAATATAAATACGACTGTACAGCTTGAAAATGAAGTCGTTGAAAAGAAATTTCTTCGCTGAACAAAAACTGTGTTTTTACTTATGAATAAATGGGTATTTTCGTGAAATAAGTCTTTTCTTGATTTCGATGGCCTGTCAGTAGTTTGCATGGTTGGAACATGCTCTTCAGTTACCACTGTCTCCTCCAGTGAACATTATTCAACAGTGGAAATAATTTTAAATTAAACTAATATACCTATTATTGGATGGAGGATTTCATCATGAGCCGACATCAGTTAGAGAACCACTGGGAAGACGTGACCGGTAGGGTACAGCAGGTTGAAGATGAAACAGTAACTCACCGAGGTAGACATTGCGAAACGATTCGCTATGTCGTGAATTGTCAGAAGTTAAAATTCACGGGCCATTGGATTAGGTCCCAGTGGCTCAGTGGTTTACGAGTTCGCCCTGTAACCAGAAGATCCTGGGTTCTAGCCCCGGTGGGTGCGTGCTAGTGAAGAGTCCCAAACTAGGCTGACGAAACAGCTGTCCAGTACTCCCTGGAGGTTTTTCAGTGGTTCTCTAACTGATGTCAGCTCATGATGAAAGCCTCCATCCAATCAAACTAAATCCCAACAAAACCAATATTTGAAAATACCTATTATTCGCAAGATTTGATATTTTCTTGAATTCAATAATTAATGCGTAGTATTGGCACTGGACATATCATGCATTTAGACGTATTTTCTATAACATGTGTGTGTGTGTGTGCAATAGTGATTTCATTTATCCAAAGTGATTTACTAATTGGCACTCGAAAAAAATCAACACTGAAGTGACTGTAAATACTAAGATTTGCAACATTTTGTAACTAAAACTTAAATCGTGATATCGTGTACCGTTGTAACGACAGAACACAAAAGTACATGGCGACGGAATTATTTATCGGCAACTCGATATACATGTATAGTGTTAGAATCACAATTTGCACGTATCTTCGGTATTGGGCTACTTTGTCTTCCATGTTATTTCACAAGCATCATTCATTTCTTCTCTTCGCGATTAAATCCATATCTCTGCTATTCAATATTCTTCCAAGTGATATACATTTATATCTGTATGTGCATATAACGTATAAACCTTGTCAGTAGCACACGAAAAACTACAACTAAATAATTGTATTTCACAACAGTGCGTCGTTGGTACAGCGGTAGTATGCTCTCCAACCATGCCACATGTGGTCTGGAGTTCGATCCCCGGCAGCCGACTCACTCATTTATCTCGCTAAGCCAGTAATAAGACTGGTAAATAGGGAGGGTTGGGCATGAAGCTAGCAACTCCATCCTGTAAAAATAAACACCACTGCTATCGAAACTTCAAAGAAGCTCTAGCTTAAAGCCCTATGTTCCACCACTGGTAACTTAAAGGAATAAAAAGGAACAACAACAGGTGAAGTTCAAGTGTTAAGCTAAACGTCATTTCTTATCAACTTAGGAGATTCTCATAACTCGAAGACTTATAAGCAAAGAAAACCAACAAACTGGTAGAAGAAGCAGCGAAGATAGGACTTCAAGTGAAAATAGAGAAAGACGGAGCTGATGAAGATACCCGGCGACCAATAACAACCGACAACAATAATCACTATCAACAGAAGAAATTTAAAAAAGGTCACTTCGTTCCGACTGCAGGCAGACGGCATGAATGAGGATGTCAAAACCAGTTAGGATCAGATAGGCAAGAAAAACTTTCATCACTCTGAAATTAGTTTGGAAATCAGTTGTGCTAAGCATAAGAAAAAGAAGGTTTTCGGACTTTCAACACTAACGTTAAGTCAGTCAGTTCTTCTATATGCGTCGGAAATTTGATGAAAGTGTCACGGAAAGCATTTCCAACTAACTGGTGGCTGCTGACTTTCATCAAAAGGGGCCAACTCCGGCGGCTCCATATTGAAGATAAAATGCCGGTCAGAAAGAATTAGCGAAAAGAAACTCTGGGGACAAACCAACGAAGAACCTATCGCTCAATCAATATGCTGAAGGAAATGGAGATGGATTAGGCACACGCTGAGGAGGCCGTTGGTTGACACATCACGTGATGCACACCATCGCTTGAGTGGACAGTAAATGGGAAATGACGAGTTAGGCGGTGGTCCGAAGGTGATATGCAGGAGGTTGTGCAAGGAGGAAATGAGAGGCTATAGGCAATTGTAGGAGAACTGCAGAGAATAGGACAAAATGCAGACGTGCTGTTGAAGCCCTATATTTCACTCGGAACCCAAGAGGAACAATGATGATGACAATAATAAATAACAGTGGATTTCTATAACTCGACCACTCATCTCTTTTTTTTTCTTTTAGTTATTAATAACACTTTAAGTTAATCTCTTCTATGTACTTTTGACGAATGATGGAGAGAAAGAATTAATAGAATTTTAAAAAATGTTTGTATTTTCCCATAGTAAAGTGATTCTTAAAAGTTTAAAATTTGAAATTTCCTAAGTGAATTAGAATGTCAGATAAATGCCTTTAAAATAATAACCAGATAAACGTTGTCGATATATGACAGTTTTAATGCATTATAATTTGAATTGATTGTCGGTCATGTGGCCTTATTGCTATCCTAAAGTAATCACTATATATATGCATATCTGTACACTTTTAACTGCTAAATGTTAGCTAGGTGTCCTGTATTTGTTGTAAATAAGATTTGTAAATCAGAAGGTTTTCTTTTAATCGACTTTGCTTTTTTTTATTTTAAGCTTTGAATAACACCTAATATGTGTAGATGTATGCGCTGCGCTGCGCCGCGCCGCGCCGCGATTATTTAACTTGAATTAGGCATAATGGGTTTATATTCTTCATGGTCTTAAGGTTGTCTGTCAAGTATATATGCCGCTAAGTTAAAGCGAAACAGTCTTGAAATGCCATGAAATAAGAAAGATTATGTATATGCTTGATATGATGATTATTAGTAGTAAATTCTGTTCGAAACATAATGCCTGCTATATTCAGTACAAGTTTGGTCACAAGTTCACACAAGTTAGAGAACTATTGGAAAAATTAGAGGGTGTGCATAACTAGCTGGGTCCACCAAGTCAAGTAAAAGATCAGTTAATCGCCTATGACATCGACTGGTGGTTGCGCTTTACATATCACGAATTGGCAGAAGTAGGAATTCATGGGCTAGTCGTTGAATCGGGTCCCAGTGGGTGAATGGTCTAGGAGTTTGCTTTGTAGTGGGAAGGTTCTGGGTTCGAACCCTAGTCGGTGGGGCATATTGCTGAAGAGTCTCTAACCGCGGGTGAAACAGATGTCCAGTACTTCCAGGTTTTCCAGTGGTTCACTTCGTCATCGAACCCGTAACCAATCAAATCCCTGAAAATCAACACCTGACAAATATATCCCGTATACAAATTAATATGAATGGTTATATATAATCTATTTTCTTTATTCATTATCATTATTTGCTAGTGTTGAATGCATGACAATGCTTTCATTTGACACTAGTAACTAGTGTGATGTGTCTAGTCCTCTCATTGGTGCAGACTGAAATCTATCAGTCAGGTTGTAATGTGACCACCATTCTAGGTAGCTCGCCATCACGGTGCACATTGAGGATGATTGTTAGTATGAATAGAAAAAGAATAATTATTATCATTCAGCAACATTTTTTAAAGAATGCAACTAAAGTAAGTGGACACTGTGTACATACTTCTTGTCTGTAGCACTTCAGTTGTATACAACCAGCTATCACCATTGTTCCCAGCCAACAGTGGGGTTAGATAGAGTTGTCCAGTCGCCCCATTTTTCTTTAACTTTGTCATCGGTGACATTCTAGAGTTAACTCGAAAAGAGATGTGTGTCGGCATTGTAGATTTGCTTCCTGGAAGAAGACTTTTCGACCTCAAGTATGCAGATGGTATCGTCTTATTGTACCGGTAGCATGCAGGCTGCCTGAATCGCACTTGATCAAATGGCAATCAGTGTCTGTAAGTAGGATATGTGCTTTTCACCATCTAAGTGCAAGATACTGATACAATATTGATAGGAACCTGTACTTGCACTCACCTTTGGATGTGCATCGGTGGTACAGTGGTTAGGACTCTCACCGACGCACACCTGATATCTATGGTCGGCCTGCGAAATTCGGGCTACCGATATCCAAGCTGAAAATTTCATACTCGTACCAAAAATACGGCGTGGAATCAAGTTGTAATCAAAAATAAAAAACAAAATAAAAGTTGTCGAGATGTTCGTGTATTTATGGGGGGAGGGTAATTGTGTGAGTGCTGGCAGAGGTATCATGGACGCGATGTCTAGCGTATCATGAGGGCTGGGGTGGCACACGCCAAATGGAGCCATCTCTGGCTGTCAAAGGTTGCGTTTACAATGCTTCGGTGGGCGCAGTCGTGCTCTACGCCTGTGTATCCTCCCCTCTCTGAGCTGAGGATGTGCGGCAACTCTACGTATTCGATCGTCGCTGTCTCCGTAGAACTGCTTGCATTCATTCGCATTATTGTGTGGGTAATTCTGAGGTCCGGTAGCGTGTGCCTGGACAGTAGAGCCACCATTCGTTATCTGAAAACACAGGCTCCGGTAGCTTGGACATGTGCTACGAATGTCATCCCAGAGGCCTTCGTACCAGTGTGTGTCCGCTAGCCCTGGAACTGGATGGAAAAAGTTGAGGGAGGTGGTCAGCCTATGACGTGGTGTCGCGGGATGAAAGATATTTGTTTTAGGTTAGCATCAGTTGGCACATAACATCACGACTCCCTGGTTGGTGTTCGCGGTATAGTTCGAATCAGTGTCTCGAAAAGTCGCTATATACGGCCAAGAATCACAATCAGTTGTGAATATGCTACAGTCTGCTTCTTTCATTCCTTTCTAACAGTAATACGATGAATGTTGTTCGGTTTTTTCAAATATACTTGCTTCCTTTCTGGATAAAGTGCTTCATTCAATTCTCTTTACATATTGTTGTTCTATTATTGTCTTGTGGCGCATTTTCTTGGTGCCTATATTGTCCTAGGTTCTGTTTTAAATAATAATTAAGTAAATAAATATGCACATGGAGCCTAAGAAAGATGGGTATATGAAAGAAACAGATCTCTCTGCAACTACGTTAGTGCTAGACAGTTGTGCTAAAATTCCATTAGTTGGTGTTTTCGGACTTCATTTGTTGCGTGTCCTTACCTCCAAGTTATGCAGCACTACAAGTAGTGTGGTAATACTACAACTTTTCGATGTGTATTTAACTGATTCACAATTGTTATTTGTCTGTGTAGTACTGCTTCATTTTTAGTCATTTCTTCCAATTTCACCGATGATATTCCTAATTGTGGTAGACTGACTGGATTGTGCGTCAGACTGTGCACAGGAAGTAAGAAGACAGGAATACGCTGCACCACCGATATGAAGACTCTAGAAGATCTGGACTTCGCAGATGATTTATGTGTAATGTCACACACACACACTTGCAGGCGGGAACCAACAAACTGGTTGAAGAGGCAGGCAGCGAAGACATGACTTCAGGCTAACAGAGGGAAGACGGAGGAAGTAATGAGCAACAAACAGCATTAACGGGAGAGATTTGTCACAGGTTACTCCCCTCACTTATCTAGCCGGGAAGCAGGATTTGAACCACAGGCGGAACAGATGAAGATGTCAAAGCAGGCCAGACTCGGAAAGATCAGATACACCTTCATCAATCTGAAGTCAGTCTGGAAATCTCCTACACTCCGCAGCATAAACAACGTGATTGAGATTTTCAACACAAATGTGAAGTCATTCAGTTCTTCTATACGGGTCAGAAACTGGGCGTTCCACAAAAATCATTCCCAAAAGTCTGTGGCAGACTTTTATCAACAGCATCATCATCTCCATAGGGAAGATCGAATGACCAGAAAAAATTAGCAACAAGAAACTATGGCAACAAACCAACGAAGAGTCGATTGCTCGACAAATATGTAAGAAAAAATGGAAGTAGGTTGGGTATACACTGAGGAGGTCGTCGAATGACATTTCGCGCCAGACCGTCGCTCGAGTGGAATCCCAATGCGAAGCGACTAGTAGGTCGTCAGTGCGAAGGTGACATGGAGAAAATCTCGCGAGGTGGAGATAAGAGCTTATGAGTAATCGTGGACCCAGCTAAAGAGGACAGGAGAAAATAGAAGAAAGTGTTGTTGAAGCCCTATGTTCCACTCGGAACCCAAGGAATTAATAATATTAATAACAAGTGATTTAGAAATCAGCATCATCATAAGATCTCCCGTCAGAGCTTATCATTATTTATTACCAGAAAGTAATAACCATTGTATTGAAATTCCCTCCAAAAAATCATTTACACTCATGTTTTTATGGTTCTCATACAACACAGTTGTGTAAAACAAATTAGTATTGTTTCTGAATTTTACCTTTTGCTGTGTATTCATACAGCACCGAATTAGTACGTTTCTTATCACTTTTTTTTCTTACTTGCACTTTTCCTCAGAATCGCCGCGCGAAAATGTCGATGCCGTCACAGTCGTCAACTTCACCTGATCTGGCTCAGTTATTCTCTGAGTTGACAAGTGCTCATAAAAATCTCCGCCATGTCAGTGTACCTGATATACTATAATGATGACGATGATGATATTTCAGAATGCAGATAAACTGACTCACTTAATCAGGTAAGTCAATGAAAGTTCAGTCCACAAATCCGTATACCATAATTCTTACTAATGTCCTTTTTATGTGCGTCGGTGGCACAGTGGTTAGGACTCTCGCCGACCATGCACATGGTCCGGAGTTCGAGCCCACGCCGGCGCACACCTGATATCTATGGTCGGCCTGCAAAATTTGGGCTACCGATATCCATGCTGAAAATTCCATACTTGTACCAAAAATACAGTGTGGAATCAAGTTGTAAATCAAAAAAAAAAGTAATAAGTTGGCTGATAGAATTTAGTCTGCGTCAAACAAAAGACTAGATGTTGTTCCATCAAAGTATTCAACACAGTCCTAGAGGTGAATCGCCGAGTCCGAATAGCTGCTCACTGGCAACGCTTCTGACTTCAACACTCTCTGGTTGACACGGGTTCGAATCTCAGAGGGGTGGTGAGGGACATGAGTTGTTCCTTCAAGATTGCAGATACGCCTTTCTGACTGATTAGTGAGTGCCAACAAGCACGAAACATAGATCAGGTTAGGCTTCCTTCTGATTGATTGCCTCCAATCATCTAATAACAAACAATGCTACCACCTGAACTTTAGTAGAGGTACAAGTATGTGTGCAAGCTCGAATAGCTCAGTGGTAACGTCTCTGGCTGCAGTCCTGGGTGACACGGGTCCGGATCTCAGAAGGGACATGAATTCCTTCATGGTCGCAGATACGCCTTGCTGACTGGTGAGTGCCAACTAGCACGGAACCTTGCGTCGTCGGCACAGCGGTTAGGACGCTCGCCGACCATGCACATGGTCCGGGTTTCGATCCCCGGCCACAGACGCACTCCTTTACCTCACTAAGCCAGAAATAATTCTGGTAAAGAGGAAAGGTTAGGCATGAGGCTAGTAACCCCAGAGTGTAAAATTAAACACTGCCACAGAAACCTCAAGCCACTGGCTTGAGGCCCTATGTTCCACTGAGAGCGTGAAGGAAAAAAAAACAAGTACGTGGACCACTAAGTCACGTGCACAACTTTCAGTAAGTAAGTGACGGGTTCGAACACCGCCTCATCTACATACAGTTTAGGCAGTCAAGTATTATCATAATCAACCTTCACACAATAACTGTGACGCGTTGCTAAGTAAATTAATATCTATGACGTTATTGTGTGACATATCGTTTTCAAATTGTGGAAATAGTGTTGCTACTCTCAATTTTTAATACTTTAGCTGATTTTATGAGGAACAAACGACTTCACGAATGTTTCAGAAGACAGGTAAGTAAATGGAAGAAAGCATAAAATAAGCGTGTAGTAAAAAGCTGTTAAGGTTATCGTTTAATAAATTGATCGGTAGACGTGACAAACGATGAGGACTGAAGTTGTAACAAAAAACCTTTTCATAGTTGATACACATACACACACGAACTCATTATATTATTACTAATAATGGGAATATAACTGTAGAAAGTGAAGAGAAAAGTGTTATTCAAAAGGAATATTCCTAGTTCAAAATAACCTTTGTTTTTAGACCAAGAAGCTTTACTAGATTAGCTGTCACTATGCCTTGCTTGTAACAACTGATTAGCTTCTAGAGAGGTATGACAGCTGAAGTTGCTTTCATCATCAAAAATAGATAACATTTTGGATTCGCAGTCCCTTTTTACTCATGATGACGACCCAACAACCTTTATCAGGTTTCATAATTGTTGTATTAGGGTATCCCTGTAGCTCTTTCAAGGCTTTGAAATACTGGGAAGTTAAAATGCTTTTCTCTTTTGGATTGTTGTTTAAAAGCTAGTGAGTTATATCCATTATCTTGGCTTTAAGCCAATCCTGGTCTTCATCGGATGTTGCGACAAGAGGCTTGAGTTGGTCATACAAGTTTTCGAACTCAGCATGGATGGCTAAATCTGTAAATTGTATGCGAGGAACACAGAATTTAAGTCCAAGAGATAAAGCTTCTTTCTGATGGGTAGATAGAGTAACATCAGAAAGATTTGTCACAAATTTATCAGGATTCACCGGAAAAAGATCTACGCGGTTTCTATCATCAATTGTACTCTCCAAACTTATTTTGTATATTGGTTTTTGTTTCTGAGTAACATCTTTACGAAAGTGAAGGAATTTAATGTGGCCTATTATGAATAATTCGGATAAGATGAGTGACTCATCCGTATAAAGAACAAGTAGTCCTTGTGGCATTTGTCTAACATTTTCGATATGTGACTTTGTAAGACGAACAAGATTAGAGATATTTGGTTGTAATTGACTGAATTTCAAAGTTTTATTTTAAAATTGCCTCGGAAAGGAATGATTTTTTCAATACATTATTCATAAAATTCCAACGTGTTGCGTTCGACGATAATTTTACACCTGACGTTAACAAGTTCATTTAACCTCTTTTGATAGTATATGGGGGGGGGGAAGTCTTCTCTTTAAAAATTTAAAACAATTGCTTCCTTTGTTGAATTTGGACAAAGGAATAAGAAGACGCAATTTGTTCAAAATGTTATCTGTTCTTGATGACGAGAGCAAATTCAGCCGTGATCCCTTTTCAGAAGATATTCAGTTGTTGCAAGGCATTTTTTTTATTCCTTCACGTTTCCAGTGAAACATAGAGCTTCAAGATAGTGGCTTGAAGTTTCTGTAGAAGTGGTGTTTATTTTTACAGGATGGGATTGCTAGCCTCATGCCCAACCTTCCCTCTTTACCAGTCTCATCACTGGCTTAGTCAGGTAAAGGATTGCGCTGGCCGCCGTGAACGGAACCCCAGACAACATGAGGCGTGATTGACAAGCATTCTACTGGTGTGTGCCACTGACGCACAAAACCAACAGGGAGTACTGGACAACTGTTTCGTCCAAGCTTAGCAGTCCTCATTAGTACGCACACACCGGGGTCCGAAGCCAGGACCTTTCGGTTACTAGGCGAGCTCGTAGATCATTAAGTCACTGAGGCCGGGGATCGAACTCCGGACCACATGCGTCCGGAGTCGGCGAGCATTCTACCGCTGTGCCACCGACGCTAGTTACTACATATATGTACTTATATTCCTCGCTTCTGGGCTCTCTGAGATAAGATCATGTGCAAGGTGCATTGACAGCTAATCTAGTGAAGCTTCTTGGCCTAAATGCTGTAGGGAAAAAAAATTTGGCTCTTTAAAACCATCAAAATGTAAAAGCTTTGTTTTGTTGAAATACACTAGTCGTCATTGTTTTAATTGACTGTTTTTCGACGAATTCACTTTCCCCTTTAACTCTACAATCGCATTTGTATACAATTCTTTCTTCATAAAAAGAAGGCGGTAACAAAAGTGATGAGTTGTCACGAACATAGTTGTTGTTAATACTAGTCAATACATAAGGGGGGATTGGGAGTTGAATAAGTGTACTCGAATTACTTACTAAGTAAGATGAATAATTTAATGAATGTATGAATAAATGAGTTGAATTCAGGATGAACATAGAAACGAAGGAAAATATGTAACTATGCAAAAGTTATTTAGTTAAACTTGTTGTACTTACTATGTAACTCGAATATACTTATTCAACTCCCCCTCCCCCCCCTCATGCATTGACTAGTATTAACATCAACTATCTTTGTTTTCACGAATTGATATCAATTTGAGAACCACTGAAAACCAGTCACCGGAAGTACTGTACAGCTGTTTCGTCCTAGCTTGAGAATCATCGGCAGTACGCACCCACCACCGGGATTCGAACCCACGAGACTTTCCGGTTACATAGCCACTGGGACTCGTTTTAATAGCCAGTACATTAATTTTAACTCCTACCAATTCGTGCTTTAGCGCTACCCCAACCAATGTCATCGGTGGGACATCCATCCTCACTCCCAACTTAGATGGACCTCACTGGTCATGACTTCTCACTAGAACTCACTGCAGGAAACTCTGTCCTGTAGCAAGTCACTAGGAAGCATCAGATTAATTTTCAAGAGTTTTGTTTGTAAGGATTAGTTTTGTTTTTACGAGATGACCACGGATCAACATCAATTAGAGAACCATTGAAAATCAAACTAGGATGAAACAGCTGTCCAGTACTTTCTGGTTTCCAATTGTTCTGTGACTGATATCAATCCGTGGTCAAACTCTTAAAAACAAATCTGATCCGTACAAACCAAACTCTTGAAAATGAATATGATGCTCGCTAATGAGTTGCTACAGGACAGAGTTTCCTGCAGTGAGTTCTAGTGAGAAGTCGTGACCATTGAGGTATGAGGATGGAGTTCCCGCCGATGACATTGGTTGGAATTCATGGACTAACTCAGTGGTTGAATGGTCTCTACGGGCTTCACTTGTAACCGGTAGTTGTTCTGGGTTCGAACCGTGGTAGTGGGGTGCCTACTGATGATGAAGCCTAAACACCAGGACGAAACAGCTGTAAAGTACCTTCTGTGGCTTTGTTTTCATTAATTCTCTCACTGATATCAGTCAGTGGTCAAACTTAAAACAAATCAAACCATGTTATAATATTATTATAACTCATTGCATTGTGTAATTTACACCACCTTTATATATATATATATATATATATATATATATATATATATGCACATATTTTCATTTTTACAGATCATTGCGCGTGTGTTCTCTCAAATCAACAAATGTGCCTTTTCTTAAGGATAATACTGTGCAGCTTTGAATAATGCTGTTCTGTTTTTGCTATCAATAGAATACTACGAATATAAAGACATGCATTTATTACTATACACTATCCCGTTAATTATTCTTCTTTTCTCCATTCATTTTTCTTGCTTTTATAATTTTTTCCCTACATGTGTACAGTATATCGCTTTCAGAACCTCAATTATACACATAAACTAATTGCATGCAAGATTTGGTGTTTCTTTTTGTTTTTATTTATTTTTTGACCATCGGAAAAAATACTCAAGTCAAGAGAGGGCTTCGTCTGCTTTTGAGAGTAAAAACGCTAGCTGTCTTTGATCATCAGATGTCTTCGTTCTGTCTCCTCCGTTAGGTTGTATAATAGGGTGAGAAATATTGGGAGGTTAGATGAGTTTGTGAAGCTAGATAGATTGCGATGGCTAATAAATGTGTAACAGATGACTAACCATCGTCTTCCTCGATAGGGAATGTTAGCTGACTGACATAGGATTTGGTTGGAAAAGAGGTGCTAGAGGGGATCAAAATAAAAACATAAAATCAATTCATGAAATCTTTGGATCGGGTCCCAGTGGCTCAATGGTCTATGAGCTCACTAGCCTTGTAACCAAAAGGTTCCTGGGTTCGAACCCTTATGGTGGGTGTGTGCCGATGAAGATTCCCAAACTAGGTTGACGAAACAGCTGTTTTCCAGCTCATGGTGAGATCGTGTAAGTTATTGTCTTTACCAGTGGATAAATAATTACAGTTTTTACAGTTATGGAAATGAAATAGTCGCGAAGAAAATTTTCTTCGTTGCAGTTTCTATTTTAATGTACGAATCAGGATCTTCTATTTAATAATATAATATCCATCATATAACTGGACGACAATCGGTGGTTGAAATACAATTTTAGTACACCCAACAGGTCAGCTTCGTAGCTCAACTAACACGGTACTTTCAGACAATAACCTGAAACCCGTTAGTTCGAATTTCGTTGAAATCCAGCTTATCCCTTTAATTCTATTCGTCAATATCTTACAAATGAAGATTCCTTAAACTTAAGTGAATCGAATACTCTTTAAGACAAATAATTTTGCATTATATGAAGCACAAAGAACTTCGCGATGATTTTGTAAATGTTTTGTTTCTTAGACCGTAATCTATACCATAATATGTGAATGATTATTCATATTTACCCAGAAGTTACGAATTACTTAGCATTTTAAAATCTAGAAGATTATATAACGAATATGAAGTGAAAATACGACCAAAATAATGTAATCTAAAGTATCAGTGTTTTATACTGTATGTGTCAATATCAAACAACTACTCCAATTGCATCACTCCATAGCGTTATTTTTTTTAACAGTAAACGAACCACTTTGATTAAACATTAGCTAGTAATTAGTGAAATGTGTCTAGTCCTATCTTCGGTGCAGACTGAATTCTAACAGTCAAGTTTGCAATGTGACTACCATGCCACTAGGTGACTCGTCGTCACGATGCACTGTGAATTGTTGATATTAGATGGTTAGAGGCAATCGGTAGGAAGCCTTGGGCCTAGGTTTCTTGTTCAGTCAAAGTATGCGATACATTACCCACAGGAGGTCAATCGCGAGCCCGAATAGCAGCGTCTGTCTCTCCGACTGTAGCACTCACTAGGCGATGCAGGTTTGAATCCCAAGGGAGAGAAATATGAGCTACTTCAAGGTTGTAGATACTATTTACTGGCTGACTACTGGTGAGTGCCATCAAGCACGAAACCTAGGTCGAGCAAGGCTTCCTTCTGACCATTTAGTATCAATGAACCACTTGTCTATAGATAAGAAAAAAGTTAATATTTCTTCACTTTCGACTATAGATGGACTATGTGGTGAGAACGTTGTAAATAATTTTCGTTGCATTCCCTCTAGAGTTGTACTTAATTATTTGAATCACGTTGCCAGTGTAATCACTAAAAAGGCTTCTATAGGCGTCAACGTTAATGTCAGTCGGTCTAGTGGAGTTGGTTATCCTTTGAGGTGTAAGTTACTTTTTCAAGAAAATTAATTATTGCAGTTAGAGGAAAGATAACTGCTATCTTAACTCGATGATATTTAATAGGCACTTTATCACAGAAGACAAAACTGTACCTTCATGTCTATAGTACAAATGATTTTACTAACTTGCTTTTCCAGAACCGATCATTTGTTGTTTCATAAATAAGTTTAGGCTCTGGTGTCTGCACTTCATCCTAAGAACTTCGTAAATAGACACTCAGATAGCAATTCTGATACACAACTTTCATAGAACTTGAAAGTCCATATTGAGTTTTATGAAAGGAAAGACGTTTAGAGAAGAGTTACTCTTTTCAGCAATATCAATTGACCACGGATTAATATCACTTAGACAAACCATTGAAAACCACCACTGAAGTACTGGACAGCTGTTTCATCCTAGTTTCAGGAATCATCGTAGTACGCACCCACCACCAGGTTTCGAACCCAGGACCTTCTGGCTTCAAGGCAAGCTCGTATACCGTTCAGCCACTGGGACTCGATTCAGTGGCCCATGAATTCCAACTTCTACTAATTCGAGATTTTAGCCCGACCACTAACCGATGTCATGGGCGGCCTTTTGTCAGTAGGTAACATTACTGAAGGTGAACTATGCATGTCACTAGCTATTTCAGATATGAGTTTGGTATCCTAGTAATCAGGTAATTTCCTTACATATATCGACAGAGCTATTTTCAAAGGGATATACATATATATATATATATATATTCCTTTACGTTCCGAGTGGAACATAGGGCTTCAGCCTACAGGCTTGAAGTTTCTGTAGCAGTGATGTTCATTTCTACAGGATGGGGTTGCTAGCCTCATGTCCAACCTTTCCTCTTTGCCAATCCTATCACTGACTTAGCGAGGTAGAGGAGTGCGTCGAACCCCCGACCATGTGCATGGTCAGCGAGAGTCCTAACTGCTGCGCCACCGACGTAGATCAACCTCAGGTTGAGAACAAAATAGAGCTAACAATTGTGGTTTCGCAAAATAAATTCTTTAGGCTCTACAATTATAAATCCATTAATTTAAGCATACAATAGCCAACCAGTAAAGGCAAATTAGAATCATATCAGAAAGTGTATTGTGGAACAAGTATCAGATGGGATGGAACAATAATCAGTTAGTTTTTGAACATGCATGGTCAATGAGTGGTGGGATAGTGGTTAGGACGCTCGCCACCCATGCATATGGTCCGGGGTTCGATTTCCGGCTGACACACTCCTTTACCTCTCTATGCCAGAAATAATGCTGGTGAATAGGGAAGGTTAGACATGAGGCTAGCAACCCCATCCTGTAAAATAAAACACTGCTACAGAAACTTCAAGCCACTAGCTTGAAGCCCTATGTTCCACTGGGAACGTGAAGGGAAAATTATTATTTTTTTATTATGATCATAGAGAACATAAGATGAAATAATTTAATGGTGTGTGTGTGTGTGTGTAACAACAGAAGACAAGGGTTAAGCAACAAATCGTTTATTCAGGAAATCAACACATATTTATAGATTTTCATGTACATTATTATAGGTTTTGGTTAGCAGAAAAACACAGTCTTCTGATTGGTTGTTTCTCACTGAAAGTTAACCTTGCATCTCTTTGTGGCTGTTTCCTGAATTGTAGATCATCTATATGTCAACTGTATCCGCCTACGCAGAGGCGGAAGGGACATAAACATTGACGTAAATTGCTATCCATCAATTTTGGCTGATAGGCAGCTCTCACCATATATATATATATATATATATATATATATATATATGTCCAAACCAAGTTCACTTTTAACAGTTTGAAAAAATTTGGTCATTGGGTATTCATTATAATAAAGGTTTTTGTATTTCTCTATGAATGAAAAACAAAACGATATTGCTGTTGTTTTACTGAAGTTTATCTATTTAATGCTGCTAATAGCTTTATCAAAGTATTATTAAACTGGAATTTACAAAATCTCAGCATATATATAACAAAGAGTTAAGAGGTGAGAAAATAGACTTAGGTAGGTCAAGTTAAAGGGACATATTGAAAGTCAAAATAACAATGGAGATCAATCAGTAAACCAAATAACAAAGGTAATAGTACGTCTGTTATGATATCAAAATAAAGTTTACTAACTTGATCATCGTCCGTTAGTCTGGGGGCACTTCTCGTTGTCAAGTTGGTAAAGATAACAAAATCAAGTGTAGATTGTTGGATTTGATCAGTGTAAAATTCTAAAAAGTGTGCGCTTACATATGTAGTAAACTTGCTTATCACATTCGTGTTGATTTTGTCACTTCATGGGGGAGGTGAATGAGGTGTTGTAACCAGGTTAGATTCTGTTTTAGTTCATCATTCCTATTCAGACAATTTGGATTCCACTTGATATGAAGTGCTTGTGATGATATTAGACGTTCTTTGTGATTTCTGAAGTTTTTCTGGATGATGATTTCAATATTGTCAAAATCAATTTTGTGGTCTGATTCTATAGCGTGTAGATAATTTTTCAAGTTTTTCTAGTTCAAGTAGATTTCTGGGTGGTCGAACAGATGCTCTATGGTGTTCATTTCTTCTGATTTTGATTTCTCGAGATGTCTGTCCGATGTATATCACATTACATTCCAAGCATTTCATTTTATAGACACAATCAGAAGGAGAATCTTTAGGGATTTGGTCTTTTATATGGACAAGGTTGTTTCGCGGTATGTCTGATGTTTTGAAGAAAACTCTGATGTCGAGCTAATTGAGTACTCTTCTAATATCGCCTGATGTCTCTGTTCTATATGGAATGACAGCTGTTGAGGTCCATGTTTTCGGAATGCGTTTTCGGCCATACTTATTGTCTGTGTTGATTTTGTTGATGAACTTCCTTGGGTAGTTGTTTTGCTTGAGAGTTTCAGCAATGTTTGATATTTCTTCCTCTTTTTCTTTCTCATCCGTTATCAGGGAGTGTGCTGGTCTAAGAAGACTTGAAACAACTGAAATCTTTGCGCTGATGGGGTATGATGATTTGAAGTCT